TATATATATATATATATATTATTTCTAAATAAATAAAATTTTTATATATTATATGTATTATAATATTATTGATAAATTAATATCAATAATATTATTAGTATATTTATGGATAAATTGTAATTTCATAAATATAAATTAGTATATATTAATATACTTTTACAAAAATATAGAGATAGTAGATAAAATAAATATATTAAAAAAATTAATTAGAAATGTTGATACAATGTGTTTCTCCTTTAGCATTGCATCAACAAAATTATTAGACTTTTAAAGGAGAACTAAAATTGTATAATTATAGTATTTGAAAGATTAAAATTGATCAATTAAAAGTTAAGAGATAAGAATCGTACAATTGCGAAACTTGAAAAATTAAAATTATTCAATTATAATTTAAAAGATTAAAATCATACAATTGTGATACTTAAAAAAAAATACATTTAAAGTTATACTCAGTTTCAATATTATCTCTAGACTCTAATTAAAATGAGATTTTGATTTTTTAATACATCCCTCACGCTAATATTATATAAGTTTGGTACGAGGATAAACGATCTTTTTAATAGATATAAGATAAACTCACAAAACTTTAGTGTGACTTTATTTAATAAATTTTGGATAACTCTGATATCATTTTAAAATGTGAATTTAAATTTAATTCAATAATACAAATTGTCTTATTAAGCGAGAGTTATCTTGCATTTATATACACTATTTTAATCTTATTTTTTTAAAAAATTAAATCACAAATTTCTTTTCATATTTTTTTACCTATTTAATTATGTTATATAAATATTTATATTCGACCACATATCCTTGTTACAGAGGGTCAAGAAGTAACGATGAAGGTTAATAGGAACGAGGGGCAGCTATGCACCGTCCCCCAATTTTTTTTTTTTATTTTCCTTTTAAAAAGTAAAAAAAAATGTGTTATACTATAAATAAATAAAAACATATGTATTTAAATATTTTGGCAAAGAACAAGTGGATGTGGATACATGGAATTAGATTTTTTATAAATGTATCGAAATAAATGGATTGTTTTGAAACTCGTACCTGAAGTATACGATGGTCGCTGTGTAGCCATGCTTATGCCTTGGCAGCACAAGAAGCAACATAGCGCTCGGACAATTTCATCAACCTCTTCTGCAATGGAAATAATGCATTCCATTTGTTTTTCTTTCCTTAGTCTTCTTGTTTACTTTCTTGTGAAACTGAAAACATTGCATGATATGAACATCAAAAACAAATCCATTATGACAACGGAACACTATTGAAAGTTTTAAGATTTCCTTTTGTGAACAGATCGCTTGATGAACTCTTATGTTTTGTATAGACTTGCTTGCTTCTCTCCAGCAGAAACGAAGAATAAGTATGAGATCGAGAGAGACTAATATATATAGCAATAAAGAAAAGAGCCAAGTTGCTGAGAAAGTGGGAACGAACCCTTTTTCTTTGACGATGATTCTCGAGTTATTATTATATCCAAGAAAAATAAAAGAAGAAAAAAACTCTGTTATTAATGGGAAGTTGCTGGGAATGAACCCTTTTTCTTTGACGATGATTGTCGAGTTACTATTATACCTAAGAAAAAAAAACTGTTATCATGACATATTGAATGAAGCTTGGTGGCCAGTATAATATATTAAACATAAAAGATAACGCAACATAAGTTGTTCCAAGTAAAATTGTGTTCGCATTTGTAAACAAGATTTTTGGGTTCAGATCCGTGAATGAAAAAAAAAAGTGATTAATTTTATAAATTTTATCAAATTTAGTAGTTTTTATTTTAAAAAAATTCACTCCGTATAGTTTTTTTTACATATTTATCTAAACATCTTTATTTTAAAAAATTATACTTTTTCCAAAAACAAAACCAACTCCTGTATATTTTTTTAATGAAATATTAAAAAAAACAATTTTTATAAGTTTAAACAAGTGAATCATTATACTTCTTAATGTTTTTTTTTTCTTTTCTTTAATATTTTGCAAGCAGGGTGTCAGCTTACACGCTGCTGACCAAACGTTGGCGCATGCAGCTAAGACTTTGACTTTCATTAGTATAATACTGATAGAGCTAGAGCTAGTTATTGAGGCATCATATGGTATTCAATACTTGTCAGTTGTCACTAGGCATGGCAACGGGGGTGATATTTGTTGGGGGGATAAAATCTGGGTCTTCATTCATGCTTTTAGGAGGGTTTGGGCTTTTCCGTTCCGTCCTCGTCTCTGCTTTTATTTATTTTATTTTTTTTAAATAAATATGAATAATTTAAAAAAAAATAAAATAAAAGTAAAATAATATAAATTTTTTACATATAAATATTTATAACTTTAGTTTATATATAAATAATTTTTTAATTATATTATTAAGCGAGACGAGTGCGGGGTAGGTATGGGGTCGGGGGCGGGGTGAGTATTAACATCCCTGCCCCCGTCCCTGCTCCCGATTTTATCAATCGAGGAAAATCCGAACCCCAACCCGAACTCGATAAACACGAATTTTTCCCATTTAAATTAGGACGGGTTCGGGCGGGTACTGTCCCAGATTGCCATACTTACTTGTCACATGTGGGCGGAACGGTGAAGACATAAATTAAACTAACAACAATTCTTGATACGTGTTTTTTTTTAATTAAAAAGTTTCAATGTGTGTTGTTCTTTTAATTAAAAAAAATGAAATTAAAGTAAGATACAATTTCTATGAGAATTTCTCTATAAATAATATGAGAAAAGTTTAATTCGATGTAAAATTTTAGCTAATAAAAATAAAGAGACTTATGTTAATCACTAACAACATAAATTAAGCTACTTAAAATTATACATGTATAATTATTGGGATATGTATTATATCATGCATACAAGAGTGAAATAATTAAACAAATATGAATCATATATGTACAATAATTCGTAAAAGATAAATATATAATTTAATCGTTGATCAAGTGACATTTATATAAAACCACTCAAAAGTAGCACTAAACAACCAAAATGTCATTGTCCACCTAATGTTCTCCAATTTACATCTCTGTAAAGCTATCATTATCTTGCTCACATATCAAGTATGATCATTACAGTTCACTTATGTAAAAAAAAAAAGGCAAGAGTAAGATAGATTTCAAAACCATACAACTGTAGAAATAAAGTATTTATATTACTACCAACATCGACATGTAAACCAACCAAACTCACCACATTGTTTTCAATAATACAATAATCATCATACTATCAACATGTTTGAAAGTTAAACACTCAAACAATTCAAACATTAGCTACAATCATACCATACAATAAGGTATTCGTTCAGTGCATATGAACAACAATCAACTTACACCATATCTAATGTGTCATAACACATTCACTTACGGAGATGTTCTAATGCACTTTAGTAGTTTAAGTGCATTGACCCTACCAAATCAACTCAATCGTTTTCATGTCCAATGAACCCGCTAAATTGGGATATCAATCCCTCCTATAATTTCTTGGTTGTCGTCACTTACACTAGAAAGATTTGATTCCGGCGTTAGGACTACGTACCACGACCTTGACATAAATAGATAAGACCATCATCTGTTATAATATAATAATTAAGTGGCTCATAATCAGAATTAATATAACCATTATAAGTTTTAAATTTCTACATTATTGACTTTTAATGGAGGAGCCAAGGGTAGTTACATTTCTAAGTTTATGAAGACGTCCCTAGGCTTGCCTATATAAAGTCTCTGATGTTCCATATTGATTCACACATTCAGAAAAAGCTAAGGCTAGAAGACTTATCTTTTCTCTCTAAATTTTCTTTCTCTAATATTTTTATGATTTCTTTGTAATAATAATGATTGCAAGTGGAGGTATGTTTCCACATTATATTCTACATTATTTATTCTTATTTTGTAATCTGTATCAAGGGCCAATGACCAAGTAATGAATATTTTATTATATTCATAGTAGAGGTTCAACATCATCACCATACATTCAACATACAACTCACCAAGTATAAATAACATGCAAAATCATCCATGCCCGACACAACATACCTTGTATCCAACAACATTGAAATAGGTACTTCATCTGAAAATAGACAATTCTTTGTCTTGCCCACACTTGAAGTCATTCAACCCACGCTCTAAGTGATTGAAGTGGAGACCCCTAAGACCTTGCACCTAATGTGACAAAATCTCAATGGTGGGTGACTCATTTAGAGTATATCTAGATTGTTCTGATACCATCTTAAAATAGTGGATTTGAGCCAAATTCAACCTTACAAAATCAGTTTGTAAGGTGAGGATTGTTTTCCACTTATATACTCTTTAATTGTCTAATCTCACTACTAAAAAAATTAAAATTTGTGACGAAAATTTGTGACGGATAAAATGTCGTCACTAATAGTGACGACTTTTGTGACGAAAATTTTATTTTTGTGACGGACTACTTATTTTTAGAGTTTGTGACGGATTTTGTGACGGAAAATTTTCTGTCTTTAACAATTCCGTCACAAACAAGGTCACTAATAAAAAAAAATAATTTGCGACGGATTTAGTGACGGATTTTGATTCCTCCCTCTCGCATCTGCAACCTGTCTTCTTCTAAGAAAAGTTGGGCCAAATGGGCCAAATTTTATTTTATCTTTTGATTTGGCCTTCACTATTTTTTTAGAAGGTAATTTCTCTTTATTATTAATTATTATTATAATTCAGATAATATTTTAAGTAATAAAAAATTTAATATAAAACCTTAAATATTTTGTTTTCTTAATTTTTTTATTATTTTGTTTAACTACTATAAATTTTAATTATTGAAATTATTTAATGTATAAATTAAGTTATGTTTCTATTTTTATATGTATATCATTAATTATATGTATTATAAATTATTTAATATTTATATATATATGTAAAAATAAATAAATTAGAATATATTTATATATTATTAACTATATATTAAGGCCTCGGTGGAAGCAAACGTAGGGGTCGCCTGCGCAGTAGCAGCTGAGGCATTCGACCCTGGTGCCTCTGAGCTCGGTTCCACTCGGGCCTTGGTGGAAGTCGGCACAGGCCCTGCCTATAGAAAACATAGAAAACTCCCTAAGCAACCAAGCAAGATAATCATGCAATGCGGAAGAAAAGGCACAAGGAAAAACACACAAACTTGTGCATCATGAGCGACCTCTTCCGTGGCCACTCTAGAAGACCCACCAGGAGGAGGACTCTCAGTGAGGTCGACCAGGTTGGCGTCGGCGGCCTTCGACGTCACCTCTTCAGCATCGCGAGGGGCCGAGGTCTCGCCGACCCTCTTCTCGCCCCTCTTTCTTTTTTGGCGAGTCTCTAGGGGAGCGACCTCCTTCTCGCCGGGCTCGGGGATCTCAATCTCCTCGGTATTGTAGCGGGCTTTCAGCTTACACCACTTGCTTTTTCCCATTATACCTGCAAGCACAAAAACCCAACACATAAGGAGAAGGAAAAAGATAGAGAATCTAACAACTAAGGATGATAAGGTACTCACTCTCTAAACCCCTCTCCTTGTCCGCCAAGTTAGCAAGTGACAGGACGAGCTTGCAATCCAAGGGACGAGGGAGCGCGGCTAGATCGGCGATGGCAGCAGTATCCGACTCCGATAGCTGAAGATTGCTTGACCTGTTGAATTTGATCAGATTCTGCTGCCATAAAAGGGGGAACCTCGGCAACCTACCGAAGTGAAAAACCTCATCAACTAGCGGGTCGGCCTCTTTAGGCCGAACTCGGAAGAACCCCTGTTTGAAGCCCTTGTACGACTTGGAGTAAAGCGAAAACAACCCCCCAGCCTTACTCCTGTTCAAAGACACCCAACCCAGGGGAGGCTCACCTAACTTGAGTTGGTAAAAATGGAGAAACACAGGCAACGACAACCCTATCCCCAGGGCCGAGCACAAGACTTGGAAAGCCCTCAAAAAACCCCAACTGTTGGGGTGCAGTTGGCAAGGGGCCATGTTGATGAAGTTCAAAAAATCACATTCAAACTGAGAAAAGGGAAGACACACGCCCAAATCCCTAAAAAAGCATTGATATATGTAGAAAAAAGGGGTATTGGGAGTACCCCCCATATACACACGCTCACTAGGTTGGCAAGGCTCAACCTGGATGAGCTTGGAAATGGATGCTTGATAGATCCTCTGCGATTTCCACATTACATTGACCTCAAGGAATGATTTAAAGACACTATGAAACTCTCTGACGTCCCCTCTGACCCACTTATAGCCTGGGACGGTAATGGCGGGGTGAGAATCTTTAGGGTTATTCCCACCCCTCTTCTTTTCATCGGCGGCCGTCTTGTCGGGTCGACGCAGAAGGTGCGACACTACTCTCACTAGCCATCAAGAGTGG